CACTCTCTCTCTCGTATGTATTTCTCAGACCCCTCTTTCTTTCTCTCTCATTAACCCCCTCTTCATATTTGTTTCTAAGGCCTCTCTCTCTCTCTTCATATTTGTTTCTAAGACCCCCCCCCCCTCTCTTTCTCATTTCTTGATATTTGTTTCTAAGACCTCTCTCTCTCTAGCTCTCAATTCATGATATTTGTTTCTAAGACCCCCTCTCTTTCTCACTTCTTGAATTCATATTTGTTTCTAAGACCTCTGTCTCTCTCTCCCTTTCTCTCTTTCTCATTTTAAATTCATGATATTTGTTTATAAGACCTCTCTTTCTCTCTTTTTCCATTCATCACTTTGTCTAGTGTAATGTACAGACACATAACATATAAAGGAAATTATACACCAGTTTTACATGAATTCATTTGCACTTTATTTACTGCTTTACATTCATATACTTTTTTTTTTCGTGAAGGTAATCTAATCCTTCAATGTCAGAGAAGTAATACAAAAGATACAGGAGTATGTGTATGCATAAATAGTTATATAAAGAAGAAATATGTAGTAAAAGTGAAAGCAAACAATAGTAGAAATTTGAACAGATAATTTGACAGTGTGTTAAGATTTAGATGCAAGAAATGACTATAAGAAATTTTTATTTGAAAATACATGCACATGTAGATAAAAAGAGATCTGAACATAGGCGGATTCATGGGCGCAGAGGCGTGCACCGCACTTTACTTTGGAGATAACGAACTGAATACACATAATAATGGATGATACATGAAAATATTTTTCTTCAGCGAGTAACAATATTTCACGTATTTCGCGAAAATTGATCATCCAATATTATAATTATTATTTAGATACTCCACAGAGATATTGTGATTTATTCACCATTTTTTATAATATACTAGTACATGTACTTGTAAACTGCATCTTGGCAATTGAAGCTTGAAACGAGTGCAAATATGAAATTTCCCAAGCATTTATGTGGTGCTGGTGCACAACTAACATGAAAAGTTAAAAATGTTTGAATTTCAAGAAAACAGTAGGCCTACCGTAACACTAATATAATCATTTACCTGTACAAAGTCGAACATCTAGAATTTACATATCCCAATCCAAGTTGTTACTTGAAGTTATTGTGACGTTACAATTATTGAAAACGAAGTAGTTACTTGGATGGTGCAATTTCATATGGTGACGTCACGTTTAATAGCTGCATGCGCACAATCACTAATAATGGCGTGGCTTAAGAGGAAAAATAAAAAAGAGCAACATAGGTTTTATTGTTACTTCACGTTAGCTGAATGCACACAATCATGTATTGACCAATCATAATCTTGTGGGCGTGGCAGAATGTTCATTGCGTCCAATATTTTATGTTATTATGAATTCTCCATAGGCTTAGACGTTAAGAAATGAGATTTAATATTTTAGCTCTCTGAGACGACCGTGACGGACCTCCAAAAATATCGTTGCCTCTAAAACCCTAAATCTAAATAATAGACCTAATATATATAACAACATAACATATAATAATATTTCCTTTATCCCAAATTTTCAGGTCCCAGGAACCTCATCATTATTAAAGGTTTCCACTGGTGTAAATTTGGCAATACTCCCTCAAAGCTATGGATAAGTTTGTGTGTACAATGCTTTTCATATAAAGTTCATTGACTTTTTGACCTTTGAACTTTGTCGAATATGACCCATATTCGAACTCGACCCGAGTCTTCAAGAGATGCAAGTACCACTGGTGTGAATTTGGTGATACTACCTAAAGGCTATGGAAATTTATTGTGAGTACAACATAATTGTTGATGCCGACAATGACGTCGGAAAGAGTGACGTCTATATACATGTACGCAGGCAAGACAAAAACTATGTTTTACTATGGGTTTTGCCTAGAGATTGGCACATTGTGACCGCATGGTTCAGATTATGTGGTGCAGCTGCACGTTTTTTACGTGGAAGCTGCGATGACTGTGATGACTGTGATGACTGACCACCTTTGGCATAGCCATGTTCTTCAACTGTTGCCTGCTTGGTCGGACGTCCCGATGTCAAGTTTCTCCTCCCCCCAATCTTCACTCTTCTGCGAGCAATGGCTGTTGGCTGCACGCCAATGCTAGGTCCAGAAGTCTTAAGGATACCTACCTTGGGCTTAACCTTGCGCCTGGCAAGGTTGACGCCACTGTATCTCCCATACATTCTGATAGCAGATGTGAGACTGCTATCAGTCTTAAGCCTCCTATGAGACTGTAGCATAGCCTTAAAGGGCTCTGCAAATGTGGCAGGGTCCTGCTTAAGCTTCTCCTCCATCTCTAAGAACATGTTGTGGACTCTTTCCACAAGGTCATCAGATTGTGGAGCTGAAACAGACATAGAAAATGATGATTAAATGGCAACCCTGGTTGATTCTTTCAGAAATAATAATAATTAAAAAAACACTATGCAAAAATAAAAGTAGAGAATGTGTAGTTGATTTGGGGGAAACTCATACTTAAGGGTAAATCAGAAATGACTACACACCTTGAAAAACTGCCAACTGCTTAGATGAAAGTAATTATAAATATTAACCTTTTTACAATTTTATGGTAGAGAACTCTTCCGATTTCTTCCTATTTCTCTTGATATTACACATGTGTTAGGACACTTTAATACACAGTTAATGCACATGGGTAAATTTAGGTGACTGGGTGTACACCAATTTGCATCAAAATACTAAAAGGCTTGCTTCACATAGCTACAACTTATATTGCCAAGACTGTAATTGACTTTAAAAATTACTTTGAAAATTATCCATACTCTAAAAATGGGATTTATAAATTTAACCATGTTTACTGGTAGAGTACACTTCAGATGACAGGCCTACTTATATCACAGTGAATTCTCAATACCCATATGAACTTAATCAGACTACATAATAATTAGATAAAGGTTTATAATTCAACTTACTGAAATGTGCTCAGATGTTATCCAAGCGATCCCTCGTAAATAATGGTTTAGTTGTAATACGGATGAAAGACAAAAAATGTGAAAAGAGTTAGGTCATGCACATGAATGAAAAACAGTGACAATATATCATGCACATTTCCGAATACTTGTCAGGCACCTTCAATCATTCTGCAGGCTCATAACAATCTGTAAATGGACAAGACTTCATGCTGGTAAGTAACACTAACATGTTAGAAACTTGATGTGTGCGACTTCATTCCAATATGCCTCTGCCTATGTTTAACTATTCACCCTGCCACACTCAACATCTTAATATGTTGATGACACAAAACACCAGATAATGACCTCTGTGACCCTTGACCTTTGACTTACGTACTCCAAAATCTAATCAGATCGTCTTCTTAATGGTGATACATACTATAATCAAGGTTGAAGTTCATGTCTCAAGTGGTTGTTGAGATATCACGATGACTGACAGATGGACAAATCCTAATGGGTCATTATAATGAAGATGATCAACAAATTATGAATTCAACGTCCATGATCAAACAGTCCACTCCCGATATAACGAGCACGGATACAACGAGATTTCGTTATAACGAGGCAATTCTCCAGGGCCCAATTTTAAAATATTCATGTATAAACCTATGTGGTCAGTATCTTTGATATAATGAGATTTCATTATAACGAGGTAATTGGTTTGGTCCCGAGCACCTCACTACAACGGGAGTGGACTGTAGCATGCAATAAAACACATGAGAAAATCTGGAACAATATAATAAGAGAACTGGAATATATTTTGGAAATTTTCTTGTATTATTTTTTTATTTACGTTTGTCTTAAATTTTGGGATCAAGAAGATTCTCTCTAGCTTCCTTATTTTAATTGTTGATTTAACCAGAGCATTATGATCCAATAAGCATGTACCAAAATAATAATGGCCCTACATGTATATGTTACTCAACAACTTTCTGACCGTCGACATGTGATCTAGTTATCTCCCAAAATTAATGAGAATTTTGGCTCTCCGGCCTTCATTCATCCCATTTCAAATATTGAAAACATTCATTTATCCAGAGCTACATGTACCTGTTCGATTTGATTTACGCATTGGATGCACTACCTAAGGTAATAAATGGTTATTTAAAATAATAAAAACACGATTGACCAGCCTTTTTATATTAAAATATCAGAATATAAAATCCTATGAAACTTAAATGCATGTTCTCCTTTAGATAAAGTTTAGTTCTGGTCTTGAGATTGAAATGTGGAAGAACTGTCTCAAAGTGATTGGGAAAGGTTTATTATAATGCATCTAAGAATTGGTGTATGCTTTTGGTATCACCAAAATGATAAGAAATCAACTTGATTCTGCTAGGAGAGTCACATGCACTGCACACAGATATGCATGTATGTGGCTACACACAAATGTTCGGTCTGAACATTTGAGCTGCTTTTCTCTTATTATGAATGTGAGGTCATTTGAACAACAATCTTTTGTAGTGGATCTTTTTACTAATCTTCCTAAATAACATGAAAAGAATTTGAAAGCTCACAATAATTGTTTTTCACCTTTCCCACAACAGTAGCTTTTCTTCCCTTTTCCTTCTCTTCTCTCTCACTCTCAATCTCACCCTCACACCCCTCTTTCCGTTTCTATACCCCTTGATTTTACCACTCTCCCTACCCTTTTTATATTTCATTTAACCATGTTTATAGTTGTTTAAAGATACCTAGTTGTTTACAGAAATAGTTTTTGGTTTGGCAAACTCTTAGGGGTTCCAATTACAAGCTCTGCATCCAAGGGGTCCTAACCCTCTCTTTCAGAATATTGTATGTGTATTTATTGTTTTCATCATATGTTATTCTTTGTATGATTGATTGGTTTAAATAAATTGAACTTGAATTTGAAATTTAAAGCAAAACATATTTGCAATAAGCTGTGTTATACTTACATTGAGAGGAGCTGCTGCCATGAAGACGCCTGTCAAATGCATTATGGAAGTCCCTCTGAACACGTAGACTGTCAATACGAGCAAGTTGGGGATCCTGAGAAGATAGGTACCCCTATATAGGAAGTGTTAATTGGCATTTCCGGTTAATTAGTTAATCCTTCCGGTTAATTAGTTAATCCTTCCGGTGACTTCCGGTAAACAATAGGGGAGTGTTAATGAGTTAATTGGGGTGTCCTTCCGGCGGAAGTTACGTAATGAGGGTACATCCCCTGGAGGAAGTTCTTTTGTTTACATCATTCATTCATTCATGGAGAGGTGGAGGATGGACGTGTGTAGGGTACGAGGGACAAGGACCAAATGACCAAACAATGGGCCACCCGGCATGTATGTTGAATGTGTGTGTTACCGACCAATGAGAATGCGAGGATTTTTTTAGAAAGGAAGTGACCCAAAGTTGGTACTTGTTTGTGATTGGACGAGAGAAAATGGTGAACCTATGGGCAAGTATCATATGACATCTAACTGTCGTTGAGTCAACATCGCTTTGTTTTTGTTGTAATACTGGCCAGATTCTATAATGTACCATGATTTCTACATGTGATTTAATGCACAAGCTTCGGGCATGTACATGCCTGGAAGAAGTATCGAGTTTTCGTGAGGAATATTATGAAGACCTTGAACCAGAACAACATGCTTTGGTATTTGCAAGGTCATCCTACTTTTTGAGTTTGCAGGACTTGGAAGATGGTAAGTGCTAATCATATTTATTTATTTATTTTCATATTCATAATTGAATAATGTTGTAGTGTTACCATATCGGGTTTGCATCTGGAATTCAAGAAGGAGATTAAGCATCGAAAATCCATAATAGGCAACGATGTGACATAATGAGTGTTTTTTTTTTGTTCAATGCAAATTAAATAATGATTGATATCTCCATTTGAAACATAAACTCACGTGTAAGCAAAAAAAAAAGAAAAGATTTATAAAGTATTATAAAGTATACGTTCAAATTATAAATTTAATTAAATTATTCAATTATACTTGTAGGGATTACCGATGATGATTTAGTGGATGTGTTCGTCGAGAACCAACAGCCCCCTCTCCCCCTAGCAACGCAGCACCAGCAAGGTCTTCCACATGACGCAGCTACTCCATGGCAACCAAATTTTGATGACGGTTAGTGTATACTTCATTTATATATACATCAATGCAAAGGATCATTGGATGAATGTTCATTTTTTTTTCTTCATGTATGAAGACAACACAATACATTGTAGCGGTTGAATGAAACTTTTTATCCGTTCTTATATATCTTTTTTTTTTTTTTTTTTATTTTTTTTATCTCATAGGCATTTCCGATGACCATTTAATGGAGATGGACATCAATACAAATAAGCCATGTGACGCAACATCAGTACCTGGCCCCTCTAACCGCCAACCAGCAGCAACAGCAGTGGCTGGACCCTCCCGCCATCCAGCATCAGCAGTGGCCGGACCCTCCCGACAACCACCAGCAGTGGCTGGACCTTCCCGTCAACCAAGAGCAGTGGCCGGACCCTCCCGACAACCACCATCAGTAGCCGGACCCTCCCACAGTCAACCAAGAGCAGCAGCAGTAGCCGGACCCTCGTCTTTTCATGTTGGGGGATCTAAGAAACGTGTTGTAGATGCACCGCCTGCAAGAGAACCCAATCTCCCTACTCATCACGTGACCAAAGTGAGTCAAAAACATGTACGCAAATACAATGCTAATGTAACTGATTACACCGTTTCTTTCCAACCCATAGAAAATAACGGTCCCATGATAGAAATGATGCCACGCGTAAATGAGATGTTTGAAAATATCATTGAAGAGATGGTTGAGGGGGTAAATGATAGAGATTTTGTTAGGATTGTTTTCAATTCCCCACAATTAGATAGACCCGTTAGTATGCCATTTGTAAGGAGGGATCAAATGAATCACGAAGCATTTGCAACCAAACTTGAGAATACTATTCAATCGAATGATAAGGTAAGCTTGGACGAAACAGTCTCTTTCAACATATTACACATGGCTATGCCAAATGGTGGTGGTTCCAATGTGAAGTGCTTAACCATCGAAGAGACATTGTCCAGAAAAAGATGCATCATCAGGATGAAGAATAAAGATAACATGTGTTGTCCAAGGGCTATCGTAACTGGCATTGCCCGGATTGAAAAACACCCTAATTTTGAGTCGATCAAACGTGGTTACAAACAGCAAAGGGAATATGCCATTGAGCTGTATAAACAGGCCAAACTTCCAGAAAATACCAAATGTGGCATCGAAGAGATTAAACTCTTCGAAAAGACGGAATTCATGGCCGGTTTCAGGGTGGTGGTTGTTTCAAAAGAGCACTTAAACTTCATTACGTATGCTGGCCCCGAAGACAGGCAGCATACCATTTATCTGTATGTTCATGACAATCACTTTGATCTCATTACTTCAATGGCCGCCTTCTACAACAAGTCATATTTTTGCCACGAGTGTTTGGTAGGATACGACAAGAAACTCAGACACGACTGCATTTTCCGCTGCAAACTTTGCAAGGGAGATGACTGCCCCGCCTCCAATGACCCCGATTCCTACAAATTGTGCAAAAAATGTAACCGTAACTTTAAGAATGCTCATTGTTTGTCAAATCACAAGCAACATGGCGTATGTGACCTGTACTTCAAATGCCCCGAGTGTCAGATTCTTTGTAACAGAGAGACGCTTAGAAAGCATAAAGCCAAGCACATTTGCGGCCAAACTTTCTGTCGATTATGCAAAAAGTATGTTAATCCAGGTCACAAATGCTACATTCAAAAAGAACCACAACGGGAAGAAAAGGATGACTCTTCCGATGAGGAGGAGGATGAGGTTAGGCGCACATTGACAAATGAGGAGATGGAGGAGTTAGGGCTTAATAACGCAACGGAGAGAGTTATGGTTGATGATGATGATGATGATGTTACTGACCCTGGTAGGAAACCCGCTGGTCTAAGAAATCTCAATAAATACGTCTTTTTTGACTTTGAGTGCACCCAAGAAACGGGTCTGCATGTTCCTAACTATTGCGTGGCCCATAGGGCATGCAAGCATTGTGCTGAAAAGCCATTTGAAGAAGAGTGCAAACGCTGTGGGAAGTTAGAGGACAAGCAAAAGGTTTTCAAAGGTCCTAATACCGGGGATGAATTCTGCGAGTGGGTATTTGGATCCAAAGAGAATTCACGCTCTGTTTTCATTGCTCACAATTTCAAGGGGTATGATGGTGTTTTTATCCAAGATTATCTCTATCGGAATTGCATCATCCCCAACCTCATACTTGCTGGAGGGAAAATCATGAGCATGGATGTTTCATTCAATCAGATCAAATTCATTGATTCTTTGAACTTTTTTGCCATGCCCCTTTCTGCTCTTCCCGCTACATTTGGAGTGGAGGAATTGAAGAAGGGTTTTTTTCCGCATCTCTTCAATACGACAGCCAACACTCATTATCAGGGGCCCGTACCAGATGCCAAGTACTATCATCCATCTGGCATGTCGCCAAAAAAGAGGGAAGAATTCCTTGAATGGTATGAGAAGGAGGTTGCATCTGGAAAAGATTTTGTAATGGAGGATGAAATACATGCCTATTGTGTGAGCGATGTTGACATATTGAGGCAATGTTGCTTGAAATTCCGGAGCATGTTTCGAGAGATCACCAAACTCAACCCAGAGGATACGGGTGTTGACCCATTCTCGAAATGCATCACCATCGCTTCTGCGTGCCATTTGGTGTATCGGAGAAATTTCTTAAATGAAAACTCCATCGGTGTCATTCCTCCTCTTGGTTACGCACCAAAAGACATGCAGTCTAACAAGGCATTGAGATGGTTGGCGCATGTCGCGGAACAAGAGAATATCTACATTCAGCACGCGAGAAATGAAGGTGAAGTGAAAGTGGGTAGATATTACATGGACGGTTATTGCCTAGAAAACAAGACCGTGTACGAATTCAACGGTTGTTTCTGGCACGGCTGTCAAAAATGCTACTCATTCAACACAGACAGTGGTCGACCTGGAGTGAAGAAAACGATGGGGGAGCTATACCTCGACACGCTCGAGAAAGAAAGGTGCGTACAAAACATACTTAAAGATTGGAAGTACGTTACGATGTGGGAGTGCGACTGGAAAAAAGAAGAAAATTCCATCCCTCAACATATCAAGCAAAGCTTGCCTAACCCCATCCCCCTCAATCCTAGAGAAGCATTCTATGGAGGTCGTACCAATGCCAGCTGTCTGTTGTACGAATGCAAAGCTGGTGAAAAAATAAAATATGTCGACTTCACTTCCTTGTACCCCAGCATAAACAAATACGGGTCTTACCCAGTAGGCCATCCCCAGATCATCACGCAAAACTTTAAAGATTTGTCGGATTATTACGGTCTGGTAAGATGCAAAGTATTACCTCCCCAAGACTTGCTCCATCCTGTTCTCCCATGCAAGGTGAACGGTAAACTTCTCTTCCCTTTGTGCTACACTTGTGCAAAAAATGTCCAGCAGACACCATGTACGCACAGCGAGAATGAACGCATCATTCACAGCACATGGGTTACCTTGGAGGTGGAGAAGGCTGTGGAAAAGGGGTACAAGGTAATTGAAATTGAATCTGTCTGGCATTTTGGAAAGTTGGCGCAGAATCTCAGAAACAAGCGCATTCCCATTGATATGTTAGATGTAGATAACCTCTATAGGGCCAATGGACTGTTCACCGCTTACATCAATCAATTCCTCAAGATCAAACAAGAAGCCTCGGGCTGGCCCGATTGGTGCCGAACCGAAGAAGATCGAGAAAAGTACATCCAAAATTACTTTGAGAAGGAGGGCATCACATTGGACCGAGAGAACATAAAAAAGAACAAGGGGTTGAGATCTCTAAGTAAACTCATGCTCAACTCCTTCTGGGGGCGGTTTGGCATGAGAAGCAATCTCCCAAACGTTAATGTAATTAGCGATCCTGCTCAGCTCTACGCACTTCTGACCTCGGATGAGTACAGAGTGCTTGATTTCAACTTCATCAATGATGAGATGGTAGAAGTTCGATATGTCAAGAATGATGAGTTTGAAGAGCAGAGTCCTCGATCCAATGTGGTGATAGCTGCATTCACGACGGCACAAGCGAGGCTAAAATTGTACGACGTCATTGACCGAGTGGGGGAACGTGTCCTGTATTACGACACGGACAGCGTCATTTACCTCGAAAGGTCAAACAGACCCGATGAATGGTGTCCTCCACTCGGGGATTACCTCGGCGATCTCACTGATAAGCTGGATGGGAGATACATAACTTCCTTCATCTCAGGAGGCCCAAAAAATTACGCCTACACAACAAACACCGGTGAGAGCACCTGTAAAGTAAAAGGGATCACCCTAAACTACAGCAATTCTCAGGTCATCAATTATGAAACGATGAAACAAATGGTAAAAAATGTAGGCTCGGGCCCTTCCGAAAAGATCACCGTCACCAACCCCCACCAAATCACTCGTGTCAATAAAAGACAACGAATCGAGACTCGAATGGCGCGTAAGGACTACAGGGTCGTGTATGACAAGCGCGTCATCAAGCCTGACTTTTTTACCATCCCGTACGGGTATGTAGAGTAATATATATCATTCGTGACATTTTTTTTTACTCTTTATCTTGTTTTTGAGGGGGGGGGGGGTTATTTATTTCATGGATGATGGCACATTGAATCATTTCTATGAGTAGCCGTTATGCGAGAAGCATGCTCTCGGAGGGACAGTCTTATGTCTTTTTTACAAGACCTACATCATTTATAGGTCTTGTTATTTTATTTGGGGTGCATACAGCATTGTTCATTTATTTCACGTTGCAATCCCTTAAACCAACCGAGGCTCCTTTGAACTCGACATCTCTGGCAGTGGGGATTGACCAACAAACGGCAGAAAACATCGTATCCACAACGTTGCATGATGGGTTGGACTACATTCCGTAGTAGAGGAGTACGCCTCTGTTCGTTCTATTATTATCATACTTTATGTATGTTGAGAGAATTCAGGGCATGGATTGGGAGAACCACGCTGCGTATTGCACGTGCCATCACCTACATCAATCCATTGCACTCTACATTCACCCCATTTGCCGTTGGTAAGGCCATACGAGGAGGGTTGACATTTTGTCGACGATTGTTACCATGACCGTTAAATTTGTGCATCCTTTTACCTGCATGGTGGCAGGCCCTACGGGGAGTGGCAAAACTGTCTTTGTACGAAAACTGTTAAAATACAATCAGGATTTAATTGAAAAACCACCTCAAAAAATTATTTGGTGTTATGGCGTGTATCAAAAAGCCTATACTGAAATGATGGCCGAAGTGCCCACTATAGAATTCATAGAAGGATTTCCAAGTAGTTTTGATGGTGTTATTGATCCCAACTTACGTAATTTGATCATTGTTGACGATTTAATGGCAGAATGCACAAAAGATGCAAATATGACGAGTTTGTTTACGCGTGGATCGCATCATCGCAACCTCTCTGTCATATTTATTGTTCAGAATCTTTTTCATGCTGGTAAAGAGACCCGTACCATCAGTTTAAATGCTCAGTATTTAGTCATTTATAAAAACCCCAGGGACAAATCGCAGATTACACATTTAGGACGTCAACTTTACCCGGGTCAAACAAAATATGTGCAGGAGGCTTACAACGATGCCACCAAAAATCCTTACGGTTACTTGTTGATTGATTTAAAAGCGAACACGTTAGAATCTCATAGATTAAGAACACACATATTTCCAAATGAATTTACTACTGTGTATGTACCAAAAAAATAAAAGTATAAGGTAAGACGTGAAGTTGGGAAATTATCATTAGTTCATCATGTCTCACAACGTAAAGACCCATGTGCCTGAACTGCGCGTACTTGCCAAGTGCACTCCTCGACAGAGGAAAGCCTTTTTGGAGCATGCAACTAAAACATTGATTACTTGTCTTTCGGAATGCTGCTCAAATACTTTAAAAGGCAATGTACCTCTAACAGCTTCGCAAAAGAAGACTTTATCTCGGTATAAGAAACATATGCGAAAAGCTGCTGATAAACGTAACAGTCATAAAGTCAGAAAAGATACTTTTGTACAAAAGGGAGGATTTTTAAGCGCAATTCTCGGTCCTATTTTGCGGCTTTTGACGGGATAGATGGAGTATACCAAGAAAATGACGTTGGTACCGGAGGAAATGGCACGGGCAGTTCAGGCATCCATGGGAAGTGCTCAACCCACGAGCAGGGTGTTATCCAAGTTGGACGAGAGTATTCAATCCATTTTACAATCTAGCGGTGTATCGGACAAGGATAAAGTGGTCCAATACCACGAAGCTTTGCAAAAATATCTACAATTACAACATCATGAGGCAAGACCCACGTCGATTCATGTCAAAATGACAGAACAGCCTCCTCTGGAGAGCATCGCTCAAGATGCACCCTCTCAGAGTGAGACGGAGCATACCGGCTCCATGAGGGAACAAGTTTTAAAGACGTTGCCCGTGACGTTGAAGCACAAAGCTAAATTATTGATGGATCACGTTTTAAAGAAACCAGAAAATGAATTATGGGGATGGAATACTCGCGGTGAATTGGTTTTTAATGGTCGGGTCATCGGAGGTTCCAACGTCATTGATTTGATGTATGATGTATTAAAAGATCGTAACATGGCCAAGCCTATGGGTTGGCAATACTTTTTACAGGTCCTGCGAGACGCCAATGTACCAGAAACGTTGATTTTGAACAAAGACAGACGTGAAATCTTGCAACATATCAAACTGAAAGGGGCGAGTGCCACAAACTCCCCAAAAGTGTTACCACAAACACCACCCATCATCACGACGAGGTCTAAAATACATGCACCTTCAAAAAAATCAAAGAAACCTTCTCTGAAATGGGAAAGCTTTTGATCGATTGTGGATATATAGAACCAAAGAAAAAAAAAAGTTGGAATAGAATAGTTGCAATATTTCACGTCTTTTATTTACATGTATATATTGTGTACTGATGATTATGTATGTAGATGATATGAAAAGTTCTGCGATGGATATGTTTTGTATTTTAAACGTAATATCAATTTACCGTGCTATTACACGCTGAAAAAAAAGATGTTGGTCTATCTAGGACTCTCACGTACTTTTCTCTTGACTTTAGAAGATAATCTTTCACTCGCTATTTCTGTACATTGTTCATGTTTCGTTTCATACAACTGGAATTTATTCATCATTCTATCATTCACCCCTCCCACACTCTCTCCTGAAGATTGTTAAATTGTAAATACTGTGACAACTGTAACAAAGAAGAAAAAAAGACAATTGTACTTTTTATTGTAACTGAGAAACTTTATTGAAATATATATATATATATATTGACATAATAAATTTGACATCAATGGTATACACGATAAGAGTTGTTCATGCGTTTTATATACAGTTTTTTTTCTCTCTATGCATGCATGTGTGTGCGTGTGTGTGCGTGTGTGTGTGTGTGTGATTGGATTTGTCAAGACACACTTTATACATTTGAAATACATAAACATACAAATTTTCTTAACAATGAAATCTTAAACAATGATATATATATTTTTTTTTCATCTATTTATTTCTATCAATATTTAAATACTACATAATACTACTACTTCATATGATTACAACTACTACATCGACTTCAAATTCATGCACAATCATTAATTAAAGGACTTTGCAATTTGTTTTAGAATGAAACTTGGATCGTGAATGGGTGCATTTTTGTTTGGATAGAGTCGTTGGATGGATGCGTGAACTTTCTTGTCATTTTGAGCACGGCTCTGATTGAATGTGGATACGATACTGGCCATACTATCTCCCCTGACCCGATGCAATAGATAATACAAACAATACTGCCCACACACGGCGGACCAAAACGATTGCAAGGACCTTTGGTTATAAGTCCATGCTTTGGAAAACTTGTTCAGGAAAGGTTTAAAACGAGGAGAACACATGGAAGGATGTCTCCCAAATGAATCCAAAAATTCACCCCCTTTAGTTTTGGTGAAGTAGATGGCGACCCAGTGGCTTCCATCTTGGTCGTGCGTATCTACATTGGCAATGAGTGCTGCCGGGTATGTTTTTATGACTGTGGGTAGACCGTCCGATGGGAAAACCCCTAAAAACGTGGATTTTAATTTTAGATCAGACTCCCCTATGTATTGCAGTTGTCGAGTATCCATGCCATAAAAATGTTTAAACTATTTATAACACGAATGCCCCATTAACCCCCAAAGTCGATGATGACGTTGCGGTTTCTGTCTATTTCTATCACGCTTTCATATTCTGCATAGACCATCACATTCACTGTTTCTGGTAGTTCTCTCGCAAATTGCATCTCTAGTCGAACGTTGCCATGTTTACGCAAGTTGAAACAATCTCCCGTAGATAGATCGGGTGTCATGTCAAACGCGTACAGCGTGTATCCCTTGTCGTAGTCGGTTCTGGTAATCTGATTCCCTTTGTCATGAAACATAGAGTTGATGCCTGAAAAGAGTGTCTGGTATGCCAAGATGTAGTTGGGGTCAGGTGCTGAAAAGTTGGGGCGGATGGGTTTCCATGGTATTTGCTCAGAGTCTGCGTACAGTGCCAAGAAGTTCAGGTCGTAATGATGAAAGTTGAATGGATTTTTTGCGTAGTTTCCGTTGAAAGCTGTGTTACTGACGCACCCAATGACGAGGCGTTTGGGCATCTGCCCCAGGATGAGGCTTTCTCTCGTGAATGACAGGTTCCCTCGTGGTATAGAAAATGTTTTGACCTCGGATCGGCGGATAGGATACTTGGCTGTCTGCGTTTCTAACGTCTTGGCGTGGAGAAGGGATGTCTCTGGGCTCAATTTGACTCTTCTCACATGCAATGAGGCGCTGGTGATGATGACTTTGTATTCGGCGTTCTGGACGGATGACATCAGACTGAAGCTGTTCTTGCTGCGATTGAGTTTAAGTTTAATATCCACGCCACCCAGGAGCAGTTTGTCTTGAAAGACCATATCGAGATGAAGAAGACCCACCATGTCAACGGTCTTGCTCCCTTTGATGAAGCGATGTCTTTCTTTCAAACCCATATTACCCGCATCCTCACGTAGGGGATTCCCATCGTCCATGTGACCGGGCGTGTCCTTGTAAAAGAGGGCGGATGTTAGCTGAGATTCTTTGGCTTCAGGCCCGTACGTAAGCAATGTCTCCAGGGCTGCCCTGTAGGCGTACGTGTTTGTGGATGGGGTGATGAGTCTGTCATTCAGCATCAAGTCCACGTCGCTAAACAGGGAGTGTAAAAACATGTTGGTCGGGCCAACTTGGGCATCTTCAGCCAGTGGTGTACCATCTCCATTCACAACTTTTACTTGCAGATGGATGAGAGTTTGCGAGAGGTCCGTGTACTCCTCCGTGGATCCTTGCAGATGAAATTGGATGGGGGTTGTGTCGGAAATGTTTGTGAGAGGGAAAAATTCAACCCATTTTCCCTTTTCCACAGTCGTTTGGGTAGGGGGGATGCTGAACAAGTCTGTTTCAGACTTTGAGCATTCGCAAGACATGTGATGTATTCTCTCCATTTTTTTTCTTCTTTTCTTTTCTTTTCTTTTCTACCGGTCAAATATATCGGAAGTTCTCCTTCTCTTTGCATTTGGCAAACTGACGGGGTCCTTCTTGGGACGCTTCCTTTTAACCTTTTTTTTCACCCTGCCTGATGAATTGGAAGTGAATTGCTGACCCAACTTTTTGAGATTGGATGTGGTGGCAGATGCCAGGGATTTCCCATTAGCCACGTCACGCACCACATTCAACCCGGTCTGCCATGCTTTCTTGCCAAGTAATTTCCCTCCCGATTTAACGATGGGGATGGCAGATCGGAGAAGCCCTTTTAACATACTGCCTAATCCATACCCCCTTTGCATTCGAGCTCCTCTAAAGACGGGTAATCCACCCCCTCCGCCTCTTCCATACTCCATGATGCGGATTAAAGATGAAACGATCGTCTCCGTACAGAACGAAAATGTAGTTTCAAGACCACCTTCCCGTTTTGAAATGGCACCTTGTCTCCAAAGTCACTCCTTATATCTATGTGTATAGTGTCAATGTATTTGCTCTTGACGGGGAGGTAATGGGGAGTTTGGTAAGAACGGTCGACAACCTCGCCAGCACGTTTGTGATCCACCGCCACGATCCTAAGCAGAGGAGCGCTGATATCCCCGACTCTCTGATTTTCTATAATGTCGGTGTAAACGTACATGGCAAAAAGACCTCCATTGAGGTCGGGGAGAAATTTTCCTTCCTGGTTAGTACAAAGGGTCCCTTCTGGAAAACCAAACAATTGCCCCAGCCCCTCGCTGAGATAAACCCCACTGTCTGGTTGTATCTCGGCCCTCACTTTGAGCGTCGATGGATTGATGTTGAAACTGGCCTTGTTTCGCAAATTGGCTGGCAGGGATTCGTTGAATGCGGTGCATACACTCTGTGCATCTCTGTAATGTCCTACGGGAACACGCCCTACCGTGATGACCTGATCCCCGATTGAAAAGCTGTATTTGTTGTTTGTGAAGTTGACATTTGTCCACGAATGAGGATAGATGATATCCACCAACGCCACTTCATACTCTCCCCGCAATACCAAAGGAGTTGCCAACTTGGTGGTAAAACTGGTCAACGTGTTGTTTGGAAAATAATCGAAGGAACTGTTGCTTGGAAGAGTCAGGTAAACTTGGTCTTCACTCTCCATGATTATAAATTGAAATGGCAGTGTTAGGGGTTGTTGTATGATTTTTGAATATTATTTACCCACAGGTTAAAGGATGAGGGGTAGCCTAAGAATTTGACAAAATATTCTTTTTTACCCTTGCGCGTTCTCTTCTTCAATACCTCTTCAACTCTAAACACGCCCTCTTTGTCTTTCTTCACTTTCTGTAACTCTGGTCCGTAAAAGGTACCCATCACTTTTTCCCCACGATCATCCTCTATATCGTACACGGGAACATCACGCTCTCTACTTTTGGTAACGTTAAACACTTCTTGGGTCCAATTGGGGCGGTACCCCTTTTCAAAAGTTTGTTTGGCTCTACTGATGCGAACCCGATCCCCCGCAGTATACTTTGCTTTTTTCCCCCTCCCCTTTTTTGGTTTGAGGTACAATGTTTTCCAAATATCCCCCTCGTTGTCTTTTGTGACGAGTATGGGTTTGGTTTTGATAGAGCTGTGATGAGAGTGGTTGTATGCCCTTACAAAACGTGGCAGTACATTGATATATTTCGAAGTATCGCGATGTGTGAGATACTTAAACATCTTTTCCTTTAACGTACGGTTGAACCGTTCGACCACGGATGCTTTTGTGGTATTATGGGTCGTGTAAAAATGTATATTCTTTTTCTTCAAAAACGATTGAAAAATCCTGTTGGTGAATTCCGTCCCTTTATCAGTCTGAATATTCATTGGTTCTCGTTTTGATTCGAGTATTTTCTTGAGTGCTTTCACCAAACTCTTTCCCGTTTTATCTTTGAGAGCAACTACCCAGGCAAATTTGGACAATACGTCGATGCAAGTCAAAAGATATCTGTACCCTTTGTTGTATCGGGATAAAGAAGCCATATCTACCAAATCAAGTTGCCACAATTCATCCATCGCATACGCCATGACTCGACTCTTTGCAAATTTCTTTCGAACAGGACGATGTAAGGTATAAGTCTCATTGCCCTCCAACCACTCTCGTATTTGTTTACGTGTTAAGTTATACACTCCATCCTTCTTCACATAACGGTACAACTTCTCAACTCCCCCAAAACCCGCCTCGTTCTCAGGATCTCCATAAATCTTTTTCAAGTACTCATCCATCCTAATTTTTTAACCAACGACCAATCTTTATCCGTCACTCACCAACAATGACCAATCACCACACGACCCATCTCTTATAACTAGAAAACATTAACAAACAAACAACATGGTGAGAATAAAAATTTCAGTTTAACCAACATTTTAATAAATAGTTCAAAATCCGAACGTAAAAAGAAAAAGGAGAGAAATCAAAAATCAAAATATCAGAAGCAAATATATATGTCTTTCTTCAAACACTTCGTATATCAGCAAGTAGACAGTGTTCAATGAGAGAAGAGATGCTACAAACGCATCATTTTGGCTTTGATGAACTCCTTTACTTGTTCGTCTTTTAAGTTAAAGTGGAAAAATTCCACGGCCTCGGCCATCGCGACTTCTCTGTCTTCCTCGAACATGATGGGCATGTTGTAGACAGACCACAGAAAATGTAAAAAGTCTCTTTCATGGAGCTGCTTGAGGGCACCCTCGAAATAAATATCCACTTTTTCCGGCCACTCCATGTAGAGGCATCCTTGATGGCCCTCCTGGCCTGGCTCATCATCTCGGCACCCCTGACATCCATCACGGACCAGGCGATGAATGATAGAGGAGAGGGCCTTCACGGCCATGAGGACAGGTGCCACCGGCAAGTCTTCGCTGATGTCGCGCCTTTGAGATGCCTCCATCTCGATGATCTCTCCTTCCTCCCTTTCCTCCTCTTCGTCCTCGATCATGATGACATCACCATCTTCATTGTCTTCGTACGTCAGGACTTTCGTGATGTCTTTCATGTCTATGTAGACTGGTTTCTCCATCTCCCGTCTTGGTGCCCAGCTGCTTGGTGTTGGAGCTTTCACGCTGGGTGTGGGTTCGAAGGGGAGCGTATCCTCTCTCTCCAGCTCTTGTTCCAGTTGGTAGATGGCATCCTAAGGTGCGGGTGAGAGAGTGGGTGTCAATGCGGTGTAATATATAATTTCTATTTTTTTTTTTTCAATTTTTTTTTTTGTTTGTCTTATTCAAATCAGAATGGTAATCAATCTAATCTTTGTCTTCCTTGATTTTAGCACGGACAGCATCGCTGATGCTCATGATGGATTTTGTCATTTGCCACCAGTTGTCTGCAGTGAGATTGATTCCCCTGATACCCGGTAACATCCTATCGGGGGTATTTTTGCTCTTTTTGTCTTTGTAATATTCCCGAATGGCAATGTACGTGACACCCCTGTAATTTTTGACCACCGCATAACGTTGCCCACCCAAATGGAATGGTTTTGACCCAGATTCAAATTCAAACAATTCAAAACTCTCTTCAATTCCATGATGACAACCCGCCTCTTCCCGCACCTTGTACGTATTTTCTTTACCCTCGCCGTTCAGATCCTAATTTGAATGAAACACAGAAATACAAACAACTATGAGTATCATTGCCATCATTGAGCATGCCACTATTATCTAATTCCTTCATGCATCCTCCCGTACCCTCCACCCACCCATGCAATTGATTAAAGTTATGCTATCTTATTACATTTAAAAAAAAAATAATGATTAAAAAAAAAAAAAATGACAAGTAACAAAATAAAACGTATGGCAAGAGTACATACCTTCAGTGCCAAGATGTTTCCCGGTAGACCTACGGGCGTCAAGGGTGTTGGTGGGATAGCCATCTCAGCTCTGGCCTTGACAGATGGGCGAGCCACGGCATCAAAGTCGTTGGCTGGTACCCTCTTAACACGTGGAGTACTCATCATCATGTTGGGCGAAGAATATGGTGTCGATGTGCAAAGTCCGAAGGGTCCGGTTGGTGTTGTTGGTGTGGCGGCCATTTTGATTCGTGATTGTTTAGCGCTGATGTCTATGATGAAAATGAGGCGAACTCGCCCACGTTATATACCCTTACACCCCTTAGGCGCCGCCCATCACAAACCTCGTCCAATCACAAACGCGCGCTATGCTGACATCACTTCCTTTCTAAAATCCTCGCATTCTCATTGGTCGGTAACACACACATTCAACATACATGCCGGGTGGCCCATTGTTTGGTCATTTGGTCCTTGTCCCTCGTACTCTACACACGTCCATCCTCCACCTCTCCATGAATGAATGAATGATGTAAACAAAAGAACTTCCTCCAGGGGATGTACCCTCATTACGTAACTTCCGCCGGAAGGACACCCCAATTAACTCATTAACACCCCCCCCTATTGTTTACCGGAAGTCACCGGAAGGATTAACTAATTAACCGGAAGGATTAACTAATTAACCGGAAATGCCAATTAACACTTCCTATATAGGGGTACCTATCTTCTATCCTGCATATCACCATGGCCATTGACCAGTGCTGTTTCTTGCAATCGTGGTTCTGCCACATCTTCTGCCATTGGCTCCACGGACTGAAGAGGGTCCATCCATCCAGACGGGACATTGTCATTACCTTGAATTCAATTGATAAATGGTCAAAAAAAATTCAAACATAATATTGATCATGTAGTGCTGGTTAAAGTAACACAAGAGAGGAAAATATATGACCAGGATGCGTACTCCTACATTGTCATATAATTGTTGATGCTGCGGCTGTAGGTGATCAAAGATATTGTTGACTAATTTCAAGTTGAAATGTCATCAAAGTGATGTATAACTTTGTTAGGCCTTTCATTCATTTACAACATAAAATATGATAGTAAATATTAAATGATAGCAGAGCGTAGATCACTTTATACGTATAAGAAAATTTATTCAGTTTAATATTACTTACATCCAGTTGCAATTTTGAGTAACAATTCCCTTTCCTTGGCAGAAGTTGGGAGGAAGTTGCTTGATGCCACTTTGAAGTGTGTCACAATGGCCTCTTGATGTTTGCAGGCACCCCCAGTTATACCTTCATGGCATGTACAAACACCAACTGCCATGTCAATAGTGTAGTGACATTGTCGATCACTCTGACTGGTGACTTCGTAGGTGCTCTCCCCAGTCTGATTGTAACAATATAAGAAATAACACAAGGCATTAGCGATGTAGTGTCTCGCCCACTTGTGAAAATAACTAGAAATATCGCGATGTCCATTGCCATCCATGAGAATTGTAGGGCCTATCGCAAGCTGATTTTGAAATATGACCTTTGACCTCTCTATGTGACCTCCGACAGCACCGCAACATGATGTTACCCCTAGTGCATCTATCACCCAAGTTTGGTCGCCATTGGACTAACAGTTGTCAAGTTATGTGTCAAAACATTTGTGACGGACGGACGGACGGACGGACAGACGCCATTTGGATCCCTAAGTCTCGCCATCCACCTCCGGTGGGCGAGACAATAAAAGGAGAATTATAACGTCAGTGCTGGACAGGTAGTTCTTTCAAACTTAACATCCACATATCATGTTTAGTTAATACTATGTTATTGTTAATTTATTGTTGTTTTATCTTTGGGTCACTTCTTCCCCTTAATTTCTGAATAAGTATTAGTCAAATAAATAAATTAGTTGGTGCTTTATATTTAGGCATTACAGCACTACTGAAGTATTCAATTTTAAGATCAAATTGAATTTCCTTTTTGGATATTGTTTCACGTACATGTACATCATCATTTACTAAATTTCCATCCATCTCCTCACAGATTAAATAAATAGAAATAAATTTACAAAGGTTTTTATTTACTTTGGAAATGTCATCTTTGCTGATCTTGGATCTGTTGTGGGTTTGGATATTCCACTTTAGTGGGCGCTGGTTGACAACTGACAGAAGTCTCCTCTGGTAGAATCCTTCAAACCTGCAGAGGATCATGAAGTCTAATAACTGAGGCACGTTGAATGCCTTGGAGCGTTGAAGGATGGAGTCTTTGAGGACCTTCATGGCGGCTTCGGCATAGTTATTTGTGTTGTTTGCCCGAATCCTCAGTCCAATTCTGAATGCCTGGGCCCACACTTGTCGTCTCTCATATAAGGAGTTGATATATGCTCTATATCCAGGGTACCTGGTCAACGAGAATCATCAAACATCGACTTTAAATTGCATTCAAAAGAAATGTTACTCCATACATTGTATGCTGCATTAACTGAGTTCTTCATATGTGGCCATGTGTTATGATTTGTTACGATTTTTTCAAATATCATATGATATCTCGGTAAAACAGACGGGTATTGTCATGAATTGGTGTCATTTGAAAGCTGAATAAAAGCTCTATCATACCTGTATGAGCTCATTAGCACTTGAAATCACGACACTGCACATCGTAGAATAATAATTCTTCTTCTTATCGGGTCACTACATTATATTAAACAACACTGGTCCAGTACTGGACACAGGACTTCGCTTTGGGGTTAAACCCTTCTACATGTAGGTCTGCAAGGGTACACATTTCTGTTAGGTGGGGGCATACCAGCAGGTGGTCCATGGTCTGCTCTTCCCCACATTCAGAAGAATAAATGAAAAGGGTGGAGGGGGGGGGGGGGGGGGAGCGGTACACATTAACTCCAAAGAAACTCCCTCTAACTACATGTATATATTTTCTGAAAGGAATTCAGTGCTGGCATCCACTCCGGAGCACAAATTAGGAAAAAAAAGTGATTCTATCGTATGCCATTTTTTTTATTCCTCAGGAAATTTCATCTTAGAAAATGTACATACTATTGTAGGGATAGAGTTAATACACAAGTTCAAAATGCATGGCCATATTCCCCTTTCCAAATCAAGTAACCCTATTACTGTCATAAATACATTGAATTATTAACCCCTGCACAAAACATTCCCTCGGGAGGTTGTACATTTTATGATACCATCCTTGAAGTCGTACTTGTTTCTACCAAACCTTTAAGAAGTACAGTCATTTTCACTTTATACCTGCAGAGGTATGTATATCCAACTTTGCTCTATTATTTCTTAAACTGGGGGAATAAATATATTTGAAATTCGATAATATTAGGTGCCCCATTTCAACAGCTGTAACGTACAACTGAGATGGTTCAGATGGACAAAATAAGGTACATGTACATTGAGTGCATGTCATACTTCATAAATAGCCTACTATTGAGACTGTATGCCTGGGCTCACCGTATAACAGCAGGATCACTGATGGCACTCTCAAAAGCTGCCTCAACAGCAGTGGCATCCTCAGCATAGACCATGTTCTTCACATGGAAGAACAGGCCCTGTCGATGGTGTTTTTGGATGCCATGTTTACTATCCCATAGCCACCGCCACACAGCCTGCAAGAGGTGAAACGAGCAGAGGAGAAGTACAGATTGGGGGAAAACAGCATGGAGGGCCTTCCTCTCTGCGGTGCAGTCATCAGTAATGAAGACTGCTGGCCCATCATTACCATTTCCCCCAAAGGCACCAGCTGGACAGATGGTCTGCAGCAGCTGCAACCCTTCAACGATGGTCCGCTCCTGCTCGTTCGACGTTATGATGACCCCCAGAGGCAGGCCACCCGAAGAGCTGTGTGTCAACAGCAGGAACACCCTGCTTCCGTGGCGGTCAACATTGCCTGCCAGAAAACAGCATAATGACAACCTAATTAATCAATCTGAAATTATTCCTATAGCCATGCAAAGACAACAAACGTTAATGGTGAATTTACCTTGAAGTGTAGTCTTGGAGACACCCCACACCAGGAGGGTGCTCATAAATCATAATTATTTGCGCCACCAGGTCCAAGGCATACACTCCACATGTCCCCCTTGGCCTCTCACTCTTGTAACTGGCACTCTTATACCCCATTCGGTGGGCTCTAACTCCGTGTCAGCAACGGAGCAGCTCCGTTGCTGAAACGGTGTGGTTGTTAGTGTGAATGCTCGGTCCCGTTATAAACTACAATGGACCAACACCATCTCGTCTCAACACCATTTCAACTAAACCACTGTTCGCCTAGCTCCTGCAACGGTGCTGCTCCGTTGCTGAAACAGAGGTCGTTCACTGTGAATGCGACCCGTTTCAGCTCCGTAATAAACCATGTGTGTTTGCTTATTGTTTGTACTTCCCATGCTACGTATTTCTGGGCATCGGGGTCACTCACGGGGTCATGAGCCAGACATAATGTGCTTTGTAACGGAGGCACCGATTTATACGCAGATAAAATTTACTCCGTTGCTGCAACGGAGTAACTGGTCTACTGTGAATGCATTTAAAACAGGGTTATGACGGTGTCGCCGCTCCGTTTTAGCACCGTTGAAAATTTGAAAGCCACTGTGAATGGGGTATTATACATACATGTATGTAAGGACATAAATATGAAATACCTGTCGAATCAATGAACACAAGTTCGCTGCTGTGAGTCATTAAAGTGTGTACACGCTGCATCAGTGGAGTGCAAATTCCTATGATCAGCTCCCCAGTGCTGCTCCTAATCATCTTGGCACACGTCATCCCTGCTTCTTTGTTGTAATTAGCAATTACTTTCTCGTCAACAGCTGCGACCATATCTGCACCATCTGCAGGACCATAGGCCTTTCTGAAGATCTTGTGATAGAGTCTGCCAAAATTTAAGACGTTTAACAAACATTCATTTTTTTCATTCATCGTGTCTTCAACCACATTTGGTCAATTCCAGCGTAACGGACATGACAGTCATACCAATTTTAATACAAAATTAACAGTTCCAAAACGCAATTCATTCATTTTATCATGCACATAACATTATCAGTGACATACAGAGCAAATTTTAAAGTATTTTACTGAATAGATAAAGAGAAAATTGATATTTAGTGAGTGTAACGGACATGACACGAAATAGCAAATGTTTTTTTACCTCCTGTGCACAGTTTGAAATTTCAGTGAACTTTGCAATGGAAATATAACTAAGTTTGGGTTTTAAATTGAATTCAAGATGACACTCTAAACACAACTACAGGTTTTTAAATAATTTGGTATTCCATTTTCTGTTTAGACTTCAAAACATAGCGTAACGGACATGACAGTTTTGTTAGGAGGTCATGTCACCCCTTTGTAATTGATTAAATATCTCATGGCCTTTGGACTATGGAAATGTATTCCTCTTCTTCCCTTTAGTGAAATTTATAGGAAAAAATATTAAACAAAGCCTGTGTAATTTGCATTTTAGTGAATTTTTTGTCTCCAGTCCAACATGTACAATTTCAATGATGGTTTGAGATCTCATGGAAAGCAGCGAATTTTTTTTTTTTTTTGTTGTTGAAAGACCTGTATGATTTATGAACATCCATGGCAATAAGGTTAGTGACAAAGAATTTACGTTAGAGGCAGATATGTTTTTTTTTATGTCATGAACATTTTTGGTGGAATTTACCATTTCTAAAAAAAAAAATAAAAAAAAAATAACAGGGAACGTTTAATGAATAAAAAACTTACCGGTAACAAAAGTGCAAATCTGGGCAAATCGACCTGTCTGCACAGTTCATGACGTACTTGTCTGGATCCTGTATCTGTAGCTCCAATTCTAGAATGTTGAGTGCACTGGCTGGTGAGTTCCCATTCTTAAACAGCTCCTCAAGTTTTGCACAGGTCTCAGGACTCGCATCTCTGTACTTAAGTGCAGCAGGAATGGAGATAACATGGTTATGTTTCCATTCTAGCTTAACCAGTGTTGGATGTGTCTGGATATGGGGGTCTGAGTTTCTGTAATGATGGAATAGAAAACATGATGTACAAAAATGCATTGCAACAAAATATTATGCGAGCGACTGAAAAATTTACAATTCACATCGTTAAACTACCGGTATGATAAGGAGCACCGTATGAGGAAGTATTCAAATCTACATGTACACGTATACAATAAAGGGAAAGCCAATTTTCTTTAGGTCTACTTCATTCTATATCCTCAGGTCCAACATGACAGAATAATTCAATACTTCCATTTGAAAGAAAATGCACACTATGTGCTGATGGCCTTCTTAAAGGAAACCAAAACCCAAGGAGAGAATCAATCTTATAGGAAAGAGTAAAATGAGAGGAACATTTTTAAAAAAGTTTCATCAAAATCGGTTATAAAATAAGAGAGTTATGGAAGTTTGCAAAGTCTTGTTGTACTTTCTATGGGGATCCTCAAATTGATGCTGCCTCAAAATGGCTGATTTTGTGGACAACTCTCCATTCGTTTTGTACACAAATTTTCAGAATTCTTCCATTATCTTTCAAAGTGCGTCTCACCTCCTTCTGAGCTCAACATATGTCATGGGAAAATATATTTCACACCACATATGTCAAGGTCAGAAGGAGACAATAACAAATATGAGAAATAATGGGAAAAATCTGAAAATTTGTGTACAAAGTGAATGGAGAGTTGTCCACAAAATCACCCATTTTGAAGCAGCGTTGCCAATTTGAGGATCCCCATAGAAAGTAAAACGAGACTTTTCGAACTTCCATAACTCTCTTATTTTATAACCGTTTTTGATGAAACTTTCTTTAAATTGCTCCTCTCATTTTACTCTTTCATATGAGATTGATTCTCTCCTTGGGTTTTGGTTTCCTCTAAATAGGTGATTGACAATTTATCGCTACTATATTCACATACTTGCTCTTCCTCCCGGATTGTGTCACTGTTCTCCTTACAGTGAGAGTAAGTTTAGCGCAGCACCCAGTGTCCTTGCTGTGACGAGATGTCCCTTCCTTAGCCCGTCTTTGCTGCCCATGATGACATCGATAGATCTTCTATTATCAATCATATACAATACGAAACTAAGATATGAATGAAATTTAGTCAGGACACCAAAGGAAGCAATTATGGAATGCTTGAAAAAGAGCTTCCAGGGGACTTAATCGTACATTGGTTAGGGTGCTGCAGCTGTAGGTAACCAAAGATATGAATATGAGTATAATTTCATAACACATATGAAAAAAAACTGCAAAAAAAGGTGATGAAAAATGGGACATAGAAATAAGATCACCAAATTCTGTAACATCAGAATAAAATTACATTCAACCAAACTAATGCAAAACCATAGAAACAAATTTACCAACACAACATGTAATAGTATATATCAGAGGTTTCTTCAATTGGGGTAATTTGTTTTTTTATCAGAAACAGCATTAAAAAAATTGCCTGCAATATTGTTTTGAGTTTTTACGGCGCCGTCAATATAAAATATGAATATTTACGTCATTCATGTTGAAGCAAGACAAGTCTTTATTTGCCAATTGAAAATGGTGGAAATCACATTTGCAGTTGTAGATCTAGACCCTCCTCCCCCCTATACCACTACCAGTATTTTTTTTTTTACTTTTACATGAAAATGTCTTGTCATTGGACAGTTTTGATTTTGATATGCAACAGAAAGAGGATTGCTAAACCAATACCTTGAAGAGCACATATTTCTTCGCTGTCGGGCAGGTTCTCATTACCCTCCATGTGGTGCGAGAAGACTCTGCAAACTCGCTCATCCATTTTTTTGCATCATCTTCTGCTTTGACATTTATCACCAGTGATGCTGTGAATCCAGATTCATCATGGCTCTCAAAGTTATTTACATGGTAATGGTATTCATGATCTTCATTATGGGTAGATCTAGGTAGAATTGCCTGCAAAACAAACAAACAAAACAAAAAACAATATTATTCCAAGATCTGTAGAGGGCAAGCTCTATACTATAACAGTTAGGCTAGGGCGTAGGGGGGCTAGATCAAGATCGCAATCTAACTGTTAGATACCGGTAGTAGGGGCCTTGCTTACTAGGTATAACACAGGCACAGCTAAAGTCGGGCAATTGCCACACACAGAACCATCTGTATGTCAGGCTGTGCTAGAAATGGCTGCATGCTGCCATCTTTTTTGCTGAAGAATAATCAACTGAATCGCGGGAAGAATAATCAACTGAATCAGGTACAGCCCAATAAATAAAACACTAAAAAGTAACCTCTTTTGGGAGTGTATTTTAAGTGATTTTAAAGTATGGTGCCCTTTGAACTAAATTTAAACGTTATCGACACGTGCTTTCATTTAAAAAAAAAAGGTACTCCTGTTCACGATTTCATCTAACCTAAAAACCACCAGTTTATCACGCGACTGGAGTAACGTGATTCCACTTACCTCTGTAAATCACGTGTTTATGACCAAATAACCACTTGACCAAGCAACGAGTTTTTTGTCCGTTAACCGATGGTGGTGATAAATAAGTAATTATTCGGTCTTGTAAGCACCTTAATCGATTGGTTTCACAGGTTATCCAGGTTGATGGTAATAATCACGTTACTTACACCGGCTAATCGTCTTATTGTTCTGTCCGTGAATCTCTGGTTATATTAAATTAGTAATTCTGAGGTGTCTTACACACCTCTTTAAATGGTTTCAAAGTTACCATAACTTTCTTGGTTATGATCACGTAGCTAAAACTGATTTCTAATCTAAGCTGTGTATTCGTGATATTTAGGTGTGAAAAATTAGTAATTATTAGATGTCTTAAAACACCTATTTAAATGGTAGTCAAAGTTGCCAGCAGTTCCGCGGTGATGATCTCGTGACTCAAACGGATTATTAATCTAAGCTGGGCATAAGTGACTTTTAGGTGTGAAAAATAAGTAATTATTAGGTGTCTTAAAACACCTTTTTAAATGGTTTCAAAGTTACCATAACTTTATTGGTGATGATCACGTAGCTAAAACTGATTACTAATCTAAGCTGTGAATCCGTGATATTTAGGTGTGAAAAAATAGTAATTATTAGGTGTCTTAAAACACCTATGTAAATGGTAGTCAAAGTTGCCAGCAGTTCCGCGGTGATGATCTCGTGACTCAAACGGATTATTAATCTAAGCTGAGTATTCCGTGATTTCCAGGTGTGAAAAATGAGTATTTCTGGGTGTCTTGATGGTTTCACAGTTACCATTTAAGTTCCGTGGTGATAATCCCGTGTCTGTTGGCATATTTCTATTTTCACCAGTTGATAACCGGTCTGTGTGCATATTTCCAGTTGCACCAGTTGATGACTGCGGGCTGACTGTTGGCATGTTTCCAGTTGAACCAGCTGACACAAATTAATTTGCATATTGAATATGGGGTGCGTGCAGATCTATGTTTTTTAAACAGTTTATCTGAATTTACAGCATATTTCTTAATTACTGATGATTTAGTTATATGCAATTCATTTCGAAAATACTACAAATATAAATTACCAGTTATAAGGACATTTCGCTACTTCGTATAAATTACATTTAATTAAACATGAACAAGGAAAACATTAACTAGAACTAAAATAATTTCAATAAAATACAAGTATATGAAAAAAATTCGATTAATTAAATTATGTAAGTCTACTTATTACCAATGCCTTTACATTGGAAATACAGACGTACCAGTATTGAAGTGTTGTTGCCGTTCAACTGGTTGGAAGTTTTACCAAATGGTTCTAATGGCTCAGCTAGACCAGTTGAATTCTAACTGGTCTGGACCAACTGGATCATTTAGCCCATTTCAATTTCCGGGGTTACCAGTTGGCATTAACTGGTTCATCAACTAGACCAGTTGCAACTATCTTTCTCCTCTGGGATGTTTGCAACCACCCCCGACCCCCCCCCCCCCCCCCCACCCCCTCTAATCCCAAACTGCTTCCGGCGCGCCTGGACGTAATTATGGAAGATCCAAAACACGATGTTCAGAAACGGGATGAGAACGTCATTATTTTGGTTAATTTATTGTGAAATATTTGCGTAATTATTGGGTTGAACGCGGGTTACAGTAATATATTTCCTCTTCGACGTAATATTCACGTGAATTTCACGCAATATTTTGACTAAAACTATCACTAACGCTTCACGTGTTTCTGTGACGCGATAATTTCGTTTATGAAGATGTAATTTCATAACCAAAAAAACACGGGAGTATTAGGTTTCCAAACCATGGTCTCCAAGGTAGGGATAATCACGTTATTATAATGGTGATATTGCAGTGACAATTGCGTGATTTAGTGTACGTGTGTTTTAAGTGACCTAGTGCAATAAACGTATTAACACATTTACGTAAATGTCCGGTGTTTGAAGAACGTAACTCTCCTCAAGTCGATACCTTGATATTGACGTGATTTTCACGTGATTTTGTTTATTGGGAGATCTAAACCTACCTCAAAATAAAATAGGTTATTTTGGGACCATGCTTCAATCCTTGGGTGTTAAGTCTTAACAGATTGAATGTATGCACCTTTGCATGCAGGGGTTTAACTTAGATCTATCTTTAGTAGGAAATCCTCACTGTGCAGCAGGTCCCTGTAGGCTGTGCGACTACCCGTTCGAGGGGAGATGACAACAACAGACTCATCCCACTTCTATGCAGAACCCAATCGTACCAGCGCAGTTATCTACCCCAAACTATTACCAATTGGAACAATTTACCCATCGAAATAAAGAACCAAACATCTCATTCTGCCCTAAAGTTTCAAATAGCTCTTAGCAAAGAAGCATAGTCATGTCGCACAGCAGCAGCACCACTCTGGACGACGATGCTGAATAGCGATGTCCGGATATCATCCCGAGTAAATCCTGAGTAAACCTACGAGGTCAATTTTAATTGACCTTGCATAATTGCAGTTTGCACACACAATTCGCCCATGTGTATCGCAAACATCACTACTCAAACTAGATCTACAAGTGAATCCAGATCCAGCAGTTACCATGGTTACTGCAAACCTGAATAAACATGGAATGTTTTGCGAGCCTAATTCATTGCGTCACAGCCTTCAGGGAAACATCGACATGTGAGCTGATGAAGTAAAGTGACACCTACATTAACGCGAACTGAGTCCTAGCCTAGGCCCTAGGCTACGGAAAACATTGACAGTTAAAATTATTAACTGAAAAGTATTAACCATAGTCTAGATCTAGACCTAGTAGATCTAGATTCTATACGGTACGTAGATAGTAGAAGTAGTAAAGTTAGCTTTAGTAGACTTTATTGGAGAACTTGTTTAGCACAGGGCTAGATCTACTTCATATTCATAACTCCTAAGTTAACTCATGAACTGTATTAAGTTAGTAAGTTACACCTTAAGTTAGGCCCTCCTGCAGTCCTAGACTACATAACGTTAGATCTAACGTTATGTTTGTTTACATTGTTACTTATGCTTAGCTAGTCCAATTGACATTGCTGTTGTTAATGTTGACTGACAGACAGTACTGACAGTGACAATGTGACACTGTGCAGCGACTCACTTAGTCTTACTCTTAGTTTTGCTAACTATGGATGCCTAACAGTTACAGTTAATCGTACTCATATAACTACAATTCAAAACTGGATTTACAGTATTCATACCCGCAAAGGCGTCTGCATTGCCACTCCGTCATCATCCTCGATGAATTCCATCGTGCAGCAAGCTTCTTAACTTGTTGTTCTGAACTTGAAATCCTATATCTTCTCCCTTAATCTTCAGTATTGCAGCTGCGTACGGTGTGTATAAATGCTGCATCGACGTACGTCTGTGCATGTACGATTCGATTTGGAACTGGCGCGCCCGATCGCGACCCGATCGAGGAGCGTAGACTAGACTCATTCAAGCAGTTTCATTGCTATTTACCGGGAAAATGTCCAGGCCAGGGTGTAAAACGCAAAGTCGCACCCAGTCCAGTAGTACTTGCATCTGTATGCAATATGAAAGACTTATCAAAATCAACATATGATGACATAAATGGTACCCTGGGGTACCAAAAAAAATCCGGCCATTTTGTTGAATTTTTTTTTTTTTTAAGGCTGTACCCTGGGTTACCAAAAAGTGGGAAATTATTTTAATTTATTTATTTTTATTTTTATTTTAATTATTTTTGGTTCAATATCCCACCTATCAATCTGATCTTTAATAGCCTGCTTATCCTCCTCGGTGGCAGCATGCCAGGCTACTCTTCGTTGTTTTCGTAGCTCCTCCTCCTCAGGGTCATACCTTGCAAGTCTAGCAACTCTATAGCCCCCAACATGAAGTAGGGCTACGACTTCGATTTGTGAGAGGGCTTGGGCCAGCAGGGTCAAAATAACACCATCAGCCTGCTCCTTGTCTCCCCCGTCACTCGCCCTCCTAAACACCGCTACCACATCAGCGGCCTTCTCCTCCCCCAACTTCTCTACAGCACGAGATCGAGCTCTTTCAACTTTCTTGGCCCTTGTAATCTTCCGTCTTTTACGTCCTTTCCCTTTCAGTAAATCCCCGTATCCACCATCACCTTCCACCCATGGCATTTTCAAAGTTTGAAAGTTTGACAGTAACGCGCGCGTTAACTATGTCGATGATGCGATGTTTGTTTGTTGTTTTTTTTTCGAAAGAGTATACAGGTACGGTACGTACGTGCAATAACATCAAGTTCTAAAATAGCCGCGGGTCGGGACCGGACGCCGGAGCTAGCTAGCACTATAGTGTGCGATAGCCACCGTAGTGCGCTTGTGATCGTGAGCGAGCGCTATAGCGCGAGCAGTGCATGCATGCACACCATGCATAGTATACACCATAGAGATACCACGGAACTATGTACACGCACTCCATACATTGTACTCGAGTGGACGTGAGATGGCGCTGCACAACGCGGTACCCCGGGGTAACGCGTGGTGCATCATATGCCAACACAGGGGGCTCATCAGTTTTTCTTTCAACAACTGAAATGCCTTTTCACATTCGGGGGTCCACTTCCAGGGAGGGGATTTGTGTGGGGGGTTCCTATGGTTACCTTTCTTCTTGGGTCCACCCAGGAGATCATGCAGGGGTGTGGCTATCTTAAAAATTCAGGGATGAATTTCCTGTAATAGTTCGCAAATCCAAGAAAAGAACGAGCCTCTCGGACACAAGTAGGGGTAGCCCAACTTCTAACAGATTCGATTTTGTCTGGGTCAGTTTCGATTCCTCTATCTGAAATGATGTGGCCCAAATATTTAACTCTGGTTTGGAGGAGCTTACATTTGGATGCTTTTAGTTTGAACCCATTTTCCGCGAGGCGCTTAATGACGGTTTCTAGTCTACTAACTTGTTCATCGACAGTTCTCCCATACACTATTATGTCGTCTAAATAAACGACACAACAAGTGTGATTTAAGTCTCCTAGGCATTTCTCCATCGCCCTTTGAAAAGTACTGGGAGCATTGCAAAGTCCGAAAGGCATGCGATTGCACTCCCACAATCCGAGCGGAGGGGGAAGTACAAAGGCAGTTTTGTGCTTATCTTTCTCCTCAACTTCTAGTTGCCAATATCCAGATTTAAGGTCTAGGGAGCTAAACCACTTTGCACCACGGAGCATTTGGAGTGTCTCGTCTATTCTCGGCAAAGCATAGGAATCGCGAATTGTGCGCTGATTAAGTTTGCGGAAATCTATGCAAAATCTTAAAGTTCCATCTTTCTTGCGAACAAGATCGACAGGGCTTGCGTATGGGGAGAATGATTCCCTAACGACGCCTGCTTCATGCATAGATCTTATGTGTTCCCGTACTTCTTCGTACATTGAGAGGGGGATCCGCCGGTACCTCTCCCGAAATGGCTGCGCATCATTGAGGGGGATAGTGTGTTTGATGATGCTACTTCGCCCTTGATCATGATCGGATGTGCTAAAGGCATGGGAGTATTTGCCCAAAACCTTTTTCACCTTATCTACATAATAGGGGGAGGCAGGAGAGTCCGAAAAATCTAATCCCTCTATAACATCATCACCACCTCCCATTGCCTCAGGAGTTTGCTTGTTTGTCTGAATGGGCCCTTGCACTTCACACACATATAGATCACCTAGAATCTGGCGTCTGTATAACCAAATGGGACTGTCAGTATGATTCTCAATCAAAATAGGGACACACCTAGATAGCTGCCGCTCGCGATCAACAAATATGACATTCTGATTTACCACCAGGCCGCCAGTGGGGAAATCACGTATACGAGGTTCTAACATTGCTGCATATGCATATCCTACGCAAGGAAGCGATACTTCACCCTGCACAACTACTGCCTGTTTTGCAGGAATCTTAACAGCTTTTTTGGCTGCGATCCTAACGGCGCCTAGTTTGCCTTCCACGGTCGCCGGTATCGGTCGTTGCATACATGCATACACTTCTTTCCAAGTAGGGGTCAAGTCCGTATGTGATTCGAAATCATGGCCAAAATCAGCATGTCCTATCTCAATACACGATTGAATAACATTTGTACCTACACATAATGGGACCTTTCGATTATATAGGGTATCGGGGACAATCAACACAAGGGCAACTAATTCTTGGGGGGCGGGGAGGGAACCTGGGAGATGAATGGAAACTTCTACATATCCTAAATAGGGGACAGGCAATCCATTTGCACCTTCAACCTTAATAAAGTTTTCAAGTGAATGGAGAGGGGTACCTTTAAGATTCGAGCATAAAATGATTTACACAGAGTCGTAACTTGGGAGCCAGTGTCAATCAAGCATTTGGATCTATGTCCATTAATAATGGACAAAGCTTCATTTGCTTGACCAACCATTTTCTTCATCGTAGCTGGGGAAGGGGGGACATTACTAGAATTAACCTGCACTTGGTCTACCGCCTGTCCCACGGCAGAGACCTGTTTTCGTTTAAACTAAACTGTGTGTCTTGGTGGGACATGGGAGAAGAATGATGGGACATGAGAGGGGGAGGATTGGACATGAGGGGAGGAGGATGGGGCATGTTGTCATGAGGGGGCATTGTTCCTGCATGCATATGGTGCTGGGCAAATAGGGGAGGGGTGGTCCATTAGGGGCTCTCATTTTTGGGGCATCACACTCTCTCGCAAAGTGACCCTGCTGGCCGCAGTTATAGCAGGGCCCCCTAGGGCCACGGGGACGATTGACTGGGGGTTGGGATCTACTATCTGTATTCCTATCTCTATTCATTTCCATTTGCTTTAGTTTTTCTCTTATGTATTTTACCTCCCTTTCCAAGTCGGATCGGTTGTTGTCTACTTGGCATGAAACTCGCCAAAGTCCCGACTCTCTTGCTCTGCTAGCCTAGCTGCTCGAACGAGAGCGTCGAACGAACCTATCGACTCATACTTATGGTGTAGCGCCTGTTTGAGCTGCTTGTCGCAAAGCCCCTTCCAGAATACAACTTTGATTGTATCGTCCTTTGCACTTCTTGATATGCCCTGCCTTTGTTCGGCTTTATCTATGATAAGTTGGAGGCGCGCACTATAGGCAGCAATTGATTCCGATTGCTCCTGTTTGCTCGAGTACAGTTGCTGAAGCAGCACTGCACCAGTCTCCACCGTCCCATAAAACCCCTCTAGTTTGTCAACTATTTCTATTACAGATATATCAAGGCCCATATTTAACACAAGCTGGCCAGCTTCTCCCCTCAGCGACCTCCTTACCAATCGCGCAAGACTTTCAGGACTGAGGCCTTCAACCCTCTGAAGGCACTCAACCTCGTGCCGCCATACATGTACTTCAAATGGGACCTCACCTCTCTTGTGCTTTTGGTCCCCGGAAAATAGTGAGAGCTTCTGCGAATTTTGGATGACGGTTTGGATTTTTGGACTTGGGCTTGAACTGTCACTAAGGTTACTGTGTATAACAAGGTGGGATCGGGGGACCTCTCTTACCTCCAATTTGTTTACACCGAGCAACTTCCCATTCAAACTGGAAATCGCACGCTGAGCGCTGCTACAATTTTCATACGCACAATGGGCACTCCAAGTAAATTCATTTGTAAGAGAATCCTTCCCAAATTGAATGTTGATTATCTCTCCAACTTCCTCGAGAAAATCTTTCAACTCTTTTTCTTTTGTGTTTGGGTCCAACTTTCTGACCAGTACCACACAATCCCCTTTGATACCAGCCATTTTTCGGAAGAAAAAAAGAAAGTATACTCTAAATAGTTCCCAAAACAAAACAACCAAATTCCGAAAGTAAAATATAAAAGAAAGCAAAGGTAGGATTAATTTGTATCACCCAGTTTGGAAAGGATAAAATATTATGCCCACAAATAAATTCGCATTCAACACAACAACAATAGGGCAATAGTATCTACCTGGTCGATACACAAAAAAAGGAAAACAAAACTTCCACAACACTAGTATGACTCACTCGATCACACATATTTCTTTCACTACCACATCAACACTCACACCAGAGAACAAAGTCTGCTGATAAGGGGGATATCAAAAAAATTAAGGAGACCAATTCAGAAAACGAAGGGAACTCTATCCTGGCTACTTTACAAACAAGGCAAAAAGTGTGAAATTGATCAACTCTCTACTCAACTAAAACACTACATATACAAGCACTTTTACTGACAGGGACTTGGCATCAAACCTGCCTTTTATAAACTATTTTGGGAGCGTTACAGCGTTTTGAAATATTTAAAACCAAAATCCTACTAGAGCATTCGTGCTGATAACGCGAAGGTCGTGGGTTCCGTCTAACGCCCACGCCACGCCGTCTTCTATTATGATGAAATAATAGAATCGAGCTCCGAGTGAAATCAGGTTTTTGTATTGGTCCGCTAGCTATATGACTTCCACTTGGGGGTGGGGTTAGTC